GAAGGATTGTAATGCACAAAATAGTTTTAGAGCTGTGGGCCCAAGCCTGATGCCCTTGCTCAGTCATCTCATTGATGTTAGTGACAGATTTTCCAGCAGGATTTGACCCATTTTCTTTAACAAAGAAAGTAAAAATATTGGCATATCTTCTAATTTTTCTCCTCTGCTATCCTAGCATTAAAAGAGAATAATAGGATCTTATTATGATAATCCATGAAAATACATGAATAACACATTACAGTATTTAAACTGGTATTGACAAAGGACAGTAAGTTCTTATTTCAAACACTTTAGTTTCTTACAGTGAAATAATTGTCCCTGAGATGCTAACTGTTTTGTTCAGCAACTACAAGCATTAATAAATGTGTCTGCAAAGAATATTCTCCAGCTTAAATGCTTTCTATACAGAAAATATTATATGTCTCCAAAACCAGCATTTAAAAAACCTTTACATTTGTATGGCCTACTTAGTGCTTTGACCCAGTTCAGACTCAGAAGCAGCCAGAATCTTCCTCTATTCCAGAAAAGCAATAGACTTCTGACTTAAGAATAAGAACTTGAGTATTTCCCCTGACGGAAAGCTCACAACTCATTATTAGGAACTGCTTCTGCTAACATCAATCCAATACCATTTATATACAGTATCAGTTATTCCTGGTTAGCAAGAATATATGGATATTATCAATCACAATTACCATAATTTCACCAGATGTAAACATTACTTCAAAATGTTTCTTAATTTTTACAAAACAAAAGCAATTTTTTTGTAAAAATCAAAGTTTAAAATAGATAATGGTCCAGATTCTCAACCGTTGTAACTCAGCATAACTCTATTAAAGTCAGTGGAGCTACACTAATTTGCATCAACTAAGAATCTGTCCCAATATTTAAATGCATTAAAATAAATGTTTTTTCTTTGTTGTACTTCTTGTTTTGTACATTCCTAGTATGTGTGATTATCAAAGCAAACAAAAAATGTTTGAAGACACCAGATTTATGCAAGTTGATCAATAATTTTTGAAACCAGAATAGAATTACAGACAACAATAATAACTAGTGCCTGTAAAACAGAAACAAGTCGACAGAGAAGCTCAACCTAAACCCCAACCAGTATACATTGTGTATGCAGTTTATGTGGCATTGTCAAACATAAGTATCTGAACCTTGAGAATGTAAAGCAACTACTCTAATCTGCATCAAATTTAAATGCACAGATATGTGTAACATTTAAAAGCAAGATCTACTGATGTTAGAGAAAGCAATTTCTTTCTACTTAATTAATATGCTTTTATTTTGATGATCTGGGAGCCTAAATATGAAATTCAGCTTCACATAATATCTAAAAGTGAATTTATACTAACCCAAACAATTTCTGACTACAAAGGTATTGCCATAATGCAAAACATGACTAAAACAAACCCCAGAAACTACTAGGCATTCAATGAACCTTAGATCATTTAGAGAAGAAAGTCCAATAACTCATAAAAATCTTACTTTTAGGTAAAAAGATGAAAATATAAAGTCAGTATTTCAGAATGATACAGTAAAAAACTATGCAATATTTGCTAATTGTGATTTACATTATAATTACTGAAAGGTAAAATAATTTGCATGAGAGAACGAGTAATGTCAAAATTGCCACTTATTAACCTCTGAATCAATTGTTTCTTAAGGTTGCTGGGGTAAGGAAGAGTAGATGGTCCAGCAGAATATAAATGTTACAGTGAGTGGTATTCATAGTAACTTTTCTTGATTTTGTAATCAACTAAACATTGTTAACTGGATGAAATACTCTCTACTCCTCCAGAATACAGCTACTCTCCCAGAATACTAAAACTTTCTTAAATGCAAATAGATTTCTTTAATAGGTTTTCTTATTTCACTTCTGACCTGTCTTTATATACATGACTATTGAGTAAATTCATTATTTTTCATATTGTCTTTTAATACACAGTAAAAAGCAGCACACCACATTAACCAGTCAAATGAGGTATAACAAATATATATGATTAGATGTCAAATTTCTGTTTGCTCATCAGATGTTAGATGTTGATCCTTTAACATAATTCTTAAATATCATCTAGACATTATCACAGATTTGAGTACATTAGCAAAGCTGTTTCCTATTTTAGTTTAATAAATCAAGTATTTATAAAGAACAAAACAAGATAGTAAAGTGGAATTTTCAATTTATTTTGTTTTTAAACAGGTCATTTCCCCAAGATAGAGCATTTAAAAAACAACAACAACAACAACAAACTGTAGGACTTTATAGTTGCATGTACATACAATTGAGTATACAGTACAGAAAATCACCTTACTATACATCATATGCAGTGCTAGACTGCTTAAGACTGCTAAATGATTGGATTTCACACAGTGATATATAAGATTTGAAAATGCCCTAAAAGATATGGACACATAAATTCAGGGAGAGAACATGTAACATAGTTATATATCTCCAGTGTATTCAGACTATGTGAGCAGTAAGCATTGTGCTTTGTCTTTCAGCACCTTGGACAGCAACTCTTTTAGAACAGAGCCAGTGTTAACAGGAGTAGGGCTTTGCATCTGATCATTAATTATCACACATAAAAACCATAGTTGACCAGATCACTTCTTTGTCATATCTTCCAAAAGGAACAATACTACTAGCATTTTTTTCTTGTTTTGCCTTCACTTTGTCACATAGATTGGTTGGACAAATTCTCAATACACAGTAGGATAGCACTGGCAGGCAGTCTGGTTCATGCAACCCCAACCCAAGAACTATTAGTAATTTGTTCTGTATTTCTTTTTGCCCCTTTTCTTGCTGAAAGGTACAAGTAGGAATATTTTCTATATTTTAAAAAAATGTAACTGGTTTAATTTTTTTTCTCTTACGAAGACTCATTCAGAACATTTATTCACATCAACTGCCACTGGGGGAAAAAGAAATAATATACAGTATTGTATAATTGGTATTCTATGCAATTTCCCCTTTCTCACATGATATGATATCTGGTAAAGCAACTGTTAATGCGGTGGTGAAAAAGTCCAGTCAAACCAGCCTATGATTTAAAACATCATGTTAAGAATGTAAATATCGATCGTTTGGCAGGACAAGGCAGGAGATCAATTTCCAGGTGAAGGAGTTACTGAAATGGCAATGATTCCCTCACACTTTTGGCCCTTAGAGAGATAACTTTTGAACAGACTTTTCTATTGCCTCCAAATCAGCCAATATCGAGATAAAAGATATTTATACTGTAGTCTAAGTATAAAATGCATGTGGTGTGTGTTTACATATACACATACGGTTAAATGATCCAGGAAATGCAGGTCCAAAATTGCTCCTATTGAACTTAATGATAAAAACTCTACGGACATATTTTTCTTGCTGATAACATCAGGTTTTATTTACATAATGAGATAACGTTATTGGACGGTTGGACATGCATATGTTTGCCCTTTGAGGCAGTATACATAAGCTACATTTATTAGTACTGCCCATATTCAACATGATGGGATTCTGTAAGGCATATGCAGTAATCATCAAACGATACCAGAAGGCCCTGTTAAAGTTAAAAGGCACTAACGGGTGTGGGATCAGGTTCTCTTGTTAAATATGATCACCAGAAAAGCCTGCTGTTCAGATAGGTAATTTGTTTGTGCTGCTGTGCTCAGCTGATTCAGATTTCTAAAGCAGGATTTGGTTTGTATTTGTTAAGGTACCAACGCAGTAGATAATCAAGAAAATTCAGGCAAGCCAGTTCAGAGCAGAAGCCATGTAGATTGGTTGTTCAAAAAATATATTTTTAAAAACAGACTTTGTATTTTAAGCACCAAGCACGGCCCCTTTCACTGCGCTTTCCCGCCTTGAGAGCTGAGCCAACTAGTCTTGTACAAAGTGGAGAGACAGCTACCGAAGAGCCAACGTGGGACACTGTTTGCTTATGAAGAAAAATAATCTGTCTTTGGATCGCTCTGAATGAGCATAGGGAATACATAAAGAATAACGATGAGGTTTATTGAAATTCTGTCATCATTACTTCCCTAGTAAAGGTCACTGCAGTATCTGTTTACAGCCACTCTAGTCCTTGAGCTCTTCCTCACTCCACAGACTGTGTAGAGCAGACTTCAGACAGACATACACGCACACATAGATGGTCACCTGGAACGTCTTCCTTTTTACATATGATCGCATTGACACACTCTCTATTCGTACATTAGGAAATGCCCATTCTTGATTCCTCCAGAATCCCATCACGATTGCACATGTTAAAGAGAACAACACATCAATATTCATAATGCTATGCCAAAAAACCGAAACATTTGTCCTTCAGAGATTCTGGAGAGCATCCTGCTTCTGGAAGCTCTAAGACAAGACGACTTGCAAGTCAGCTAACACTGGACATAAGTCATCAATTGACTTCACTGAGATTCAACACAAAAGCCCAAGACAACCAGTAACTTGTTGGAAGTTAAGACAGAGTCACGTCGCTTGCACATCAATCAGAAAGTTCCCCCGGTGCGCATCGAAACAGACACTTTTTGCCACCGAGTGCGTACACAAACGCCAAGCAACCACGCCGCTGATCCTGCGGAACAACCAACTTCCCACGTCCACTCCAGACCGCCAACAACCAGGGACAGCCCATTCACACCCCATTGCCGTACTAGGTCCTGCTGATTGGCATGCAGCCCCTACCCCTGCCTCTCTGTCAAGCCGCATCCAAGCCCTGTGGAAGCAGGCAGCCGAGTTTGAGCCAATCGCATATTCATGAGTTGGGGAAATCCAGCTCTGCACTCCCAGAGGACCAAGGATCACTCTTCTTTTCCTTGCAAGCAATGCGTAAATAAGGACCCCTTGTCAGTTTCCACTAGAAGAGTCAATTCCTCCCAAATAATTAAAGCCATCAGCACCCGAATTAAAAACACCACCGGAAGAAAAAAAAAAAGGGAAAGCAACCAGCCGGCCCATCAATGAAAGAGAGCATAACACACAGCAGGGCTCCTACCTTACAATCCTCAGGACACGATTTCACCGAGTATTCATCCGATTGTAAATATTTCTGGAGCATAACCTCAAACTCTTCGTATTTCTCCTGAGCATGCTGGTCGTAGCGCTGGTAAGCCTGGACGCACTGGCTGCAGGAGCCTTCCCCCTCCAGCACCACATCCAGACTGCAGTTCAAAGTGTCCGGATTGGACAACCCGGCGAACAACTCCCAAAGGGTGTAGGAATTACAAAAGGAAAGGTAAAAATCCGTCAAGTTCCAGCCCGGAGTCGGATGATTCCCTGTCACCTGCTGCTCCCGGCTCCATCTCCTCCGGCACACAGAGTCCGCATCCTCCACGCTGAAACACTGGCCAGATGCGGAGCTCTGCGGGTTACACGTCTCCAGGCGCCAGAAAGGTTTGGTAGAGTTCCCTAGAAAAATAGCCTTGTTGTTATTGTTATTATTGTTGCTGCTGCCGCCTCTGCTGCTGCTGCTGCTGGGGGAGGGAGGCAGGGTGGGTAATGAGGAGGAGAGGAGTCTATGGGCCGCCTGTGCTGCAGGCGAGGGCTCCCCCATGCTAGAGAGTAGCTCCCGCTCCGGATGCTGCTGCTGCTCCTTGTCTCTGGTCCTGGTGAGTTTGGCTTCGGCACAGAACCACAAGTGATCAGAGAGCAGGACTGTGAAAAACAAGAGCGATGCCAGGGACAGTCGCCATTTCTGAGCCCTCTCTGAATCAGTGAAGGGTTTCTCGTTCTCCCGGGGTGCAAACCAGATTTTTAGGCCGTCATCGTACTGCCGACTGCACATCCAAGCACCCCTGGTCATATTTTGGGAACGCACAGCCCTGGCCGACTCCACCGTGAGGGCTCCGTTGCCAGTGTCACCACAATATGCATTGACTTAAAAGATTGGGGGGGATTTTCTTGCCTTCCTTTCTCTCTCTCTCTCTCTCCCGCTTTCGCTCGTCCACTCTCCCTCCCTCCCTCTCTCTTCTTCCTCTTCTTTCTTCTTCTTCTTTTTCTTCTTCGTCCTCTCCCTATTGAAATGTTGTTGGGTTTTGCAGGTGGATCCGGCTGGGTCTCACCACAGATCCATCCAATACAGAGTACGGTGGAGCAGATGAGAGCAACAATGCAGAGAGAGGAGGAGGAGGAGGAGGTGGTGGTGGTGCTGGTGGTGACAGTGGTGGTGGCGGCTGGTGGTGGGGTTGGCTGGCTGCTTCTTTTCCTCCCCTCCTCTCACCCAGGCATTGTCAGATAGCACATCTCCATCGCTCTCCTGAGAAAAGCCGGCTGCCCCCTGCCAGCTGCATGCCGCTTCCCCCGCTGCCGACGGACGGCTTGAGGAGAGCAGCTCCCCTGCCTGCCTTGCCTCCCCCCTTCCTAACGCTGCCGGGGCTGCTTCTCCTCCTCCTGAGCCCAGAGCCCTGGCACAGATGCCCGCACCCCGGTCTCCGTCTTCCCCGCTCCCTCCCCCCCGCGCTCTAGCCGGAGCGGCGCTGCTGCAGGGCTCCCGGAGCGCGGCTGAGGATGCTGAAGAGGAGGAGGAGGCGGCGGCTGCTGCCGCGGCGGCTGGTGACAGTGAGCTGCTGCGGCTGCTGCTGCCGCCGGGCGCGTTCTCCCCCGGCACGCGGGGCGGGCTTGCCTGGGTTTTGCCTCCCGATGGCCACAGTCATCTTTGGTCCCTGGGCTAAGTTGCCGCCATCTTCGTCCTGGAGAAGCACTTTTTTGGGGGGAGCTCTGTCTTTTGCGTCATCTCCTCCCGCGCCGAGCTCGCTCTATCCTGGCGCATTGGCAGCCGCTCTTCCTCCGCCTGCCCACGGAGGTGGGGAAAGGCACCGGGGACCACATGGCCCCACCAGAGGGCTTCCGGAGCGCAACTCCTCAGCCCGCGCCACTCGCCTCGCTTCGCCACATCCTAAGCTCCAGCATCCACGTCTCTTGCCTTTGCTCCCATCAGTGGCTCCTTCTTCCTTCCCTCTGTGGCCCCCGAACCACCCCCTCCTAGCAGGGTGATGGCTGGAGGGATCTGTGTCTGTGTGAGTCCTTTGTCGTGTCGTGTCGTGTCATCTCAACCAGCAAATGGCTCGTGTCAGATACAATGTCAGGGTCTGGGTGAGAGCTGGATCGTGCCAGGGTATTTTTGGCCCCCTTACTCAATATTCCACTGCCCACATGAAAACTAAGTCTATCAGTCCATATGTCACTTGACATAACTCCTAGACCTCCAAAGCATCACAGTGCAATGGCACTGCAACACCCCAACTGCCATCTGGAACCTCAAATTCCACTGCCTAAATGAAGAACCCGTTTCGCCTCGTGTATCTTCAAAATCCTGACCCTGATACACCTCAGTGTAACAGTGACACAAAAACTTGGATCCAGCATCTGGATCCTGCTACATTTCCCCCCCCAAACCCTGAAATTGTACCATCAAAACAGAGAACAATTTTTGCCTCTATTATTCAAGAAAACCACACCAAAAATAAAATCTAAAAACAAAATAAAAAACCACTGGACACCAAAACATCCCAGCCCAAGAACTTTACAACTCTAATTTGGCACTTATATCTTGCTGGATCTGGCTATTTTTTCGGCTGCATATCCTTCAGAATACCATTTAGATGCAGTATATATGCAGCATCTAATAGTCCACTAGAATAATCAGAATCCTAACATATTGTGGTGCAACAGTACCACAAAATATGTCTGCCAAAGGGTTTTGGCACTGAACAACCAACTCATACAATTAAAGTGGAGTCTTCATTTACAAGAATTCATCTCAATGTTTTGGTCATGTGATACAAATATCAGTAGTGTTATTTATCTTTCCTTTTACAGTGGATGCTCTTAAAAATGAATTTCAGTTTTAGAGGTGGTCATCTTCATTTTAAAGATAGAGAATACTGGTGAGATTTGTAATATCTCTAAACGCAGGATGAATCTTTTTAATTGTACTTCATAAAATGTAATCCCTCCCCATTATTTAGTCAGTCATGTATTTATTCCTTAGCAAATGAGAGCTACACTATAATATACTAGATATACTTTTCTTGCCTGAGAGTGGGGAGTGGGGACAAGGGGGACCTTTTGAGGTCTCTTTCAGCCCTATATGTCTATAATTCTATTATCACAATCTACAAGTACCCACGTAGGGAAGAGATTCATGATAGTAGGTGGCTCTTTAATTCAGTATCCAAGAGAATAAAAAGATCCAATGGTTGGAAGCGGAAACTAGACAAATGCAAGCTAGAAATAAAGTGCACATTTTTAACAGTGACAATAATTAACCGGGGGACAACTTACCTAGGGAGGTGGTGGATTTTCTATCACTTGAAGTCTTAAATCAAGACTGGATATTTTTCTAAAACATATTCTATAGCTCAACCAGAAGTTATGGGTTTCACGGAGAAATTCTTTGGCCTGTGTAAAGCAAGGGGCCCAGAATAGATAATCATAATGGCCCCAGTGGGCCTTAAAATCTGAGTGAAGTTCATTTAAAACTACTGAACATTAATATTAAAAGAAAAACTATACAGCAGTCAATCAGACCACATCACAGTTCCTAGTCAATCAGAACACATAATCTGCCAACCCTTAACATATTTCAGTTTGGTACTTTAATTCTAATGATTTGGAGGTTTGGGGCAAAAAACTTTCAGGATCCATCAGAATGCAGGTGCCAGCTCTGCATTTTTGCATTGGGATATGTTGATGTCTCGATTTTTTGTATCTTTTTTTTTTTTAATTTTGGTACAAGAGTAACTAAACTTGCTATTTGTGCTGGGGGGGGGAGGAGCAGGTTAGTGTAAGAAAAAACAGGCAGGATCCAACAGGTTCCAGATATCATGATTTTGTGGTTCTATTCCACCAGGATGCACTGGCATTTGGATTTCAATTTTCCTGGAGTTGGAACAGCTAAACTTGTTTAAGCAGTGGAATTTATGGGATGGGCCCCAAAAATGGCTGCATCCACCAGGATGCAGGTGCTGGATCTGGGTTTTTGTGATACTGTTGCTATGGTATATGTTGGGGTCAGGTAGTTCTTTTTGTTGTTTATTTGGTTTGTTTTTTTTCCCTCTGACCCATACAATAGGAGTGGCTAAACTAGTTCTCTGTTTAGGTAGTGGAATATGGAGGGCTGGGGTCAAAAAGTGGCAGGATTTTGCAGGATCAACATTTTACTCAGACCCCCATGCAAAAGAGAGTGAACTGATAAAGATGTTAGTGGCTCTGGCTCCTCTGTGTGTGTGTGTGTGTGTAAATTACTTCTCTACTGACACTTCCCCAAGGTTTAGCTAAATTCACAATCATTCTGATAGGAATTATACATATATGGTGTTATGTAACATTTTATTCGGCGTTCTCCATATTTGTTTGGAAAATATATGATCACTAAACTGACATTTAGTAATAAAATATAATGGTGAAATCACAGAGTAGTTCTTGCAATTTGTATTCCTTTGCTTTCATCTCAGATCTGATTTTCTATACTAGGGAATGTATCAAACTGATGTGTTGTTTCCTCTTCTGTATCTCTTCCAAATCCCCATTTCTCCCCGCCAACAAATAAGTTATGATGCTGGTTTGATGCAGACGTCTGCAGCAGCTGGTTCCTGCTGGATCTGAACTGCTACAGTTCAGTTCTCTGGTGCCCCTTAGTGTTAGGTCTTGGAGCTCAGGTGGAGGGGGGGAAAGAGAATAATGCTACAGAATGGGAAAATCAGCAATTTCATTACATGTGGGAGAAAATTCATCAGATATATAAAGTGACTGATTGATCATCCATTAGATTTCCACTTTTTCTATGATAGTTTTGATGTGAATAGCTAGAATTTGATTTAACTATGAGTTAATTATTGGTTATTTGGATATAAAAGTCAGAGCTAACTTTTGTCCACAAATATTATAAAAGTATGCCCTCACTCTCAGCATTCTTACTAAGGACTCTGTTTTTGTTTTTGTTTTAATAACAACCCTGGTGGTTTGTAGTACTGACTTCTTATTGGAAGTACTTATTACTTCTTGCCTGCCAAAGCTTGGCAAGCATGAAGAACTCATGCAAGTCTGCTTCCCTAGTAAGCAAGAGTCAACAGATGTTCTCCAGTTTGATCCCTTGAATGATGCTTAGTTCAGTGTCAATTAACTTTACCATGTAGTGATTCTAGCAGTGGAATTAAAGAGCTTATGTTCTTTTAATTCTTTGCCTCATAGTCCACAATACAACTAATTTATTTACTACTTTATCTCAGTGAAAAATCTATTGGAATAAGATATGCACAACATTTAAGAGTCTGAAAACAATTTCTTAAGCGATTATCTATGAGTTTTCTTATTCCGCATATTTTAGGAAACCTTAACAAGGAACAAGAATGGGCTACAGGTAATTTTAGTGGGTAAAAAGTTAGTCTCATATAAAAGACAACAAATGTTTTAAAACAGTCATCTTTAAACTCTACCTTATAATATACATGTAATAATCTACAACAGTCTATGTTACCTTCTTCTCCTGCTCTGAAATTTGTGTTCAATATATAGTGAGCACCAAAAGAAACAGTTCCATCAGACTTACAAGCTATGACAGTATGTATGTCTTTCAGAAGATTTATAACATAAACCATATAAAATAGCTTTGTGATTATTAGCTTGGCTTTGTTGTGTGTGTGTTTTTATAGCTGCGTTTTAGACTAAGAAGAGTATTCTGTACATTTGTTGAGTACCAGCTTTTGTAAAGTCCTGCAGCAGGTTAATTTTTTAATATAGTAAATCTTGTTTTGTTAACTGAGTTAGCTGAGTTAATTGGCTTTACTGACACTGTTAGTGTTG